TATTTTCTGCTGTCTTCGGGGCATTCAGTAGTTATTTTTCTCATTTGTTGATTGTAGATTTGTTTCGTCCTTTTTTTATTTGGCTATGTCTGAGTAGGCGGGCTGTGTGTTCTTCGTTGTTTGCTCGTCTGTGGGCATGATACTTTTCACCTCCTTCTCCAATTGGCAGGGTCAGTTGCTCAGATATGGCACAGCAGGGCAGGTCTAGCTGAAGAGGAGTTACTGGGATGGTTGTTTGTGGCATTTACTGCAGCCACAAGGGCCGGTTGGTAATCAGTGCACGGCAGGTTCTGGTAGGCTGTGCCTGTGCTGCTTGGTGGTGTGATGTTAAGCGCACGGTGCAGGTAGACTGGATTGAGGGGGGAGATTGTTATGTATGGAGCTAAGATGGATATAGGAGAGAGGAGAGAGGAACAGGAGCCAAAAACATACAAAGAAAAAAGAGTGCTAGGGGAGCTTGCTGTTGGAGTGGAGAGATGAGAGACTATGAAATGGAGAAAAACAAAAAGGGGAAGAAGAAGAAAAAAAAAAAAGAAAAGAAAAGAATTAATAAATAAAAATCATAAAGGAAAAAGAACAGCAAAGCTCCCAGGGATCCCATTGGTGTTGCTACGAGGTCTGGTGAAGTTGTTCTCAGGTGTTGCAGTACAGCCTGGCTAGAAGGTGTAGAGGTATTCAGCACTAGGTGTTCAGGGAACAGGAAGAGAAGGAAGGTATAGAGAGACGAGAAACTGAGTAATGAAGAAAGACAAAAAGGGAAAAATAGGGAAAGGAAAACAAAACAAATTTAAAAAAAAAAGAACAAGAAAAGCCCCCCCCAAAAAACCAGAAAAAAAAAAACCCCCACAAAAAAAGAAATGCCCTCAGGGATCCCTCTGCACATCTGCACAAGCTGGGGGGGTAGGTCCCAAGCCGTGCAGCACTGCCCGTCAAGAATGGGCTCCCAACTCGAGGAAAGGAAAAGAAAACAAACAGTTCAAAACAAACAAACAAAAGCCCCGGGATCCCACCAGCATGGCAGCCCAGACCGGGAAGCAGTTCCACACTCAAACAGAGCTCCTCAGTCCCTCAGGAAGAAGCAAAGATGGTGCACGGAGCCAGGCATTTGAGTGAAAGGAGGGAGAGGTGGTGAGAGGTAAGGAAGAAGTCAAAAGAAGTGGAAAAAAGCAACAGCAGCAGCCAACAAATGGCACTCAGGGAGCCGGCCAGTGCGGGCAGGTAGAATCCAAGCAGCTGATGCTTCCCAGCCAAGAGACTGTGGCCGTGGGAAGCAGAGAAGACCGTGTGGGGGTGAAGAAGGGTAGGGGGGTGGGAAAGCGTATATTGCAAATTACTGATCGTTTCATCTCCTGCTGGAAGATCCGTGAAGCTGCTTTCTCGTACCCCCTATTTGCTGGTCTCCGATAGGGTCCAAGATGGCAGATCTGTGCTGTTTTAGCTGATAGGGGACCTCTGCATGAATCTCTCCTCGCTTTCCTTCCTCTGTCAGTTTTCTCACTCCATTTCATGCTTGGCTGAGTTCTTTATCTCTTCATTTGATGTTTTAGGGTTTCAGGATTGCTATTTTCTCTGTTTGGCTTAGTTTTTTTGATCTTTGCTGTGGAGGGATGAAGTGGTGCTTCCGCCTAGAGCGCCATTTTGCCAGAAGTCCGTGTCAGTCCATCTTGTTGAAGGTTTTCCTCTTTTTCACTGACCCTCTACTTTATCAAGCATGATGTCCTTCTCCAGAGACTGATCCCTTCTGCTCTCTGGATAACATGTCCAAAATATGTGAGACGAAGTCTTGCTATCCTTGCTTCTAAGGAGCATTCTGGCTCGACTTCTTCCAAGACAGATTAATTCATTAGGGTGAATTTAGTTCCCTAACAGTACAACTTAGAAATCTTTTCCTTATTCATGGTATTATGCAGACTTCACGGCCTTAGTTAAAGAAGGTTATATGTGTATAGATAAAAAACTGCACCCTCTTTGCCATTAAAAAGTGCAAAAGTGCTCAGGGAAGAGGAAGCAAAATCCAATTCAATTCCATGTTGCTTTGATAGTCTCTTGCTGAGCTCAGGGTTAAGCACCATTGACATGAAAAAAACAATGAGTCTCTAGATGTAGTGATGGCTGAAGCTGCTGCAGAGGCTTCAGACACCCTGCAGAAAGCGCCCTCCCTACATCTTGTGGAAGTACCTTCTCCCTACACCCCACCTGTGGCTAACCTTGGTTCCCAATGTACGTAGCAGAAAGAACTCAGAACCAGGTATCTGGATCTTGGCTTGGATCTGACTCTGCTTTTCTAATCTCTATCCACTCACTTCTAAATGACCCCAAACTGAGAATTTCTGGTACCTAGCCAGAAGTCTCAAGGGGTCATAATTCATTTCTTTCATTTATCATAAAACATATCCTTTGCCTAACAATAATGATGATGATAATGATGGCAGTTATGTCTATGAGTGTTTCGCTATGTTCTATGCCAGCCATTTTATGAATATTATTCCCCTTTGCCCTCACAGCGATCCCGTTTATTGCCCCCATTTTACAGACCAGGAAACTGCCTTAAAGGAGGCAAGTCCAGCTAGGGCTACTCAGCCAAGGGAGGCATCTTGGCAGGTCTGTCCCCAGAGTCTCTGCTCATAATTCCTTCTGGGAAGCAGCAAACTCAGGAAGCGTTTCCTAATGATCAGCTTCTAGGTTGTTCTGCTTAAATCAGGAGATTCAAACGTGGTGAAGTCTGAGCCTGAGCTCCCTAGAGGCAGCAGTGACCTCTAACGTTCCTTCTTCCTCCTGCCCCCTTTGTTAGGACAAAGCACAACTCTGGCTGGCGTTGACATTCACGACTTGCTGCCTGGGAACCTCCATGACTACTACACCTACTTGGGCTCACTCACCACTCCTCCCTGTACTGAGAACGTCCGCTGGTTTGTGCTGGCAGAGCCCATCAGTCTTTCCAGTGCACAGGTAATGTGTGGCATTGCTCTGCCAAAGCTTCCCCTTTGGACCACCTGGTTAATAAGAGTGCTGCCCGAAATCTTACCTGATATCAACACCTGGGGCTCCTCTGGCATTTGTCATCCACAGGGATACTAGTGCTAACGTGGGGAAACCGAGGCATCGAGGAATCCAAAGAACTTAAGAGTTGATGCATGACTGGAGCCTGGTCTAAGTCATAGGAAAAGAGTTACATAGTGAAGGCAAATATTTGTTGAGTGCTGCTGTTGCCAGGCACCGTTCTAGAACCTTGATATACAAAATCCCTGTCTTCATGGAGCTTACATTCTAGCTTCTTAAATGGCTTTATGAAAGAAGGATAACATCACATTTAACTCTTTACCTTCTAAAATGCCTGTAACCCTTTGAGGAGAAGAGCCTTGCCAGTCATCTTTTGCCCCCTAGCACAGCACTGGAACACTTGGTTGAACTGAATAAAAGGACAAATGTTACTGAGGTTTCAAGGCAAAGGTGACATTTCCTTTTGGGTGATGTTCTCAGAAACAAATATTTGTTTCTTATTCCTAAAGTTTTCATTACCCTACTCCAGGAAAGAGGTAGAAAAGATCTCTATGCAAGGACACCCACACACAAAAATGTTGCCAACTAGAGGGGTCCAAATTGTATCTGCATGCAACCTTTTCTTGTAGACACCACGTTTGATTATAAGGAACATTATGTACTATGTACTGTCACTTGGTTGGCGTTTATCTTGAAAGCAGGGAATCGTTTTAACACAAAAAGACAAAGACTCTCAAATTAGGTTCACACACACACACTTGCACATACACACACACAGAGCAAAATTGACTGAGTAATTACTGAGGTGCCAGGCAATATCTTGGAGCCCTAGTGGCACAGTAGTTAAGAGCTTGGCTGCTAACTAAAAAGATCAACAGTTTGAATCCACCAGCCGCTCCTTGGAAACCCTATGGGGAAGTTCTACTCTATCCTACTGGGTCACTATGAGCTAGAATAGACTTAACAGCATTGAGTTTTTAGGCATCATCTCATTTAACCCTGACAGAAAAATCCAGAGTGGTGGATTTTTTTTTTTCATTTTACAGACATAATCACAAGATAAAATAACAATGGCTGAAATAAATGTATGGCAAAAATCTAACAAATGTAAACATACAGAGATGAAGGATGGCAATAGTAGCGTGAAATAAAGTAGACTTTAGGGCAAAAAGTGTTAAATAGGACAAAGGAATATTATATTTTCTACGAAGAAATTAAAACAATCACGTATACTTACATACCAGGCAATTTGTCAGATAAGGAGACACAAAATACAATTAAGGATAGAAATGATTTGAACAACACAATTAAGCTTGTTTTAATAAAAACATCTAGAATTTCATACCCAAAACAGCATACTCATTCTTTATAAATATCCATGCAGTGGGTCAAAAAAATTAGCCAGCTATTATTCTACCAGAAAATTAAATTCCAAAAAAAAAGAAATCCTATCAGCCACACTCCCATTATAATGTAAAGTAACTGGAAATCAACACCAAAAGTATAATAATAGCAATAATATGTATTTGGGAATTCAAAAACGTTTTCATAAATAGTTCTTGGATGAAAAGGGAGCTCAAAGTTGAAATTAAAATAATATGGAGTTCTGCTAGTATAGCAGACTAGGTTTCCTGATAGATGTTATTCTGGTTTAAAAAACAAAAAACTAAACATACCACACAGAGATTTTTTAGGATATCTTTTAAAAATGTATCAGTAAACTCTTAAACTAATAAGGAATATTCAGAGGCCAAAACCTAAATGAAAGTGGGAACCCACAAAAATAAGTTGAGCACTGAAGTTGGCTCTCATGTGTGGACATTTGCTGAACCTGGTGAAATGATAGTTTGGTTTTCATAGACTTGCAAGTCATGGACCGCTGAAGTCAAAGCCCAAAGACCTGGCAGAATAGGGCAGAGTTAATATTTAAAAAATATATTGTCTGACAACTTCCCAGAAGAACTGAAAGACACCAAGCCATATATTCAGGAAGCCCATGAGTCAGGATAAATAAAAAGAAACCCACAACTAAATACATCACAGTGAAATCACAAAACATCAAAGAGAAAATTTACAAATCAACCAGAGAGAAAAGACAGATTATCATGAAAGAAATACAATTAGATCAAGAGTTGATTCAACACAGCAACAATGGAAGCCAGATGGCAGTGGAATCATATTTTCAAAGTGCTGAGAGATAGCAATAGCTAGCCTAGAATTGTATATGCAGGAAAAATATCTGTAAAGAATGTAGACAATAAAGGAAACTGGAGAAACCCCGAGAGTATGGCCCCCAGACACCCTTTTAGCTCAGTGGTGAAGTCACTTCCGAGGTTCACCGTTCAGTCGGGGATTGGACAGCCCCATAAAACCAAACGGAACTAATGAGGCACAGCAGTCCAGGGACAAGGGCTAGAAGGCAGAAGGGGACAGGAAAGCTGGTGATAGGGAACCCAAGGTTGAGTGAGGACAATGTTGATGTGTAGTGAGGTTGTTAACCATTGTCATAGGGCTACATGTGTACTGTTTAATGAGAAACGATTTTGTTCTGTAAACCTTTATCTAAAGTGAGAATAGCAGCACAATTGGAAGAGCGTAGTCAATGTCACTGAACTGTGCATGTAGAAATTTTTGAAATGGTGTATCTTTGGCTATGTATATCGTCATCAAAAAAAAGCTCAAGAAGGGAGAGAGTTGACATGTTGTGGGGTTGTTAACCAATGTCATAAAACAATATGTGTACTACTGTTTAATGAGAAACTGTTCTGTAAACCTTCACCTGAAGTACAATTAAAAAAAAAAAGAACGTAGACAAAATCCAGACATTTTCAGAACAACAAAAATTAAGCTTGCCACTTTATATATTTCTGTTGTTTACTTCTTTCTCTCCCTTCTACTATTGAACAAATACTCATAGGAAAAAAAAATTAAAAGAGATTGCTAAATACTTGTTTCAAGAATGAATGGAGGAATGAGCTTTGGAGTAATACCTCTGGGCTTGAGATCTTCTCACAACTGCTTTATCAGGGTTTGCTAACTTTCAAATTACACAGTGTCTCTTCGCCTCTATAATTTACTTCTTGTTGCCTGCAGGTTTGGAAGATAGAGAACTCCTTGTTTGATCACCAGAATGAGACCCTCCACAATAATTACCGTAGGACCCAGCCCCTGAACAACAGGGTGGTGGAAGCTAACTTCAAATATCTTCCTAATCATCGTGAGTGAGATCAAGTATTAATTATTTTTGTAATTTGTTGGCTCCTTGATTTCCTCCCTTCTCTGGGTGGATCCATTTCTTCTAGTAATAGTAAGGAAAGTAGAGCCATTTGAGCAGCAGGAGGTTCAGAAACGCCAGCTTGCACAGGGCTTGGGGCCAAGGGGGGTGACTCATTTTCCCAGTTCGGGCAGTGAGTGAGGACAGTGCCTAGACCAAAGAAGACAGTGGGGATAGGCAACTCCATGATTTATTATCTACGTGGTCTTGGCCAGAGACAGTTGGAGAAGCAAGATGTCAGCAGCATCCAGAAGTTGTCATAAGAGTGAAGACTCAAGTTACCCTTGTTAAACCCAATGCAAATTAGGTTCCTCACATCTTTATCTTGGTCTGTATTACAAATAGATACTCAACTCCTTCTAGACATTCCCTCGAGGTGGGGTTAAGTAGATCACATGTTGTTTACTACATTTGCTTGGGCATCAAGCCCCAGACACCAGGCTACTGGAAGTGGGCAAGAGAAGTTCAGCCTCTATTAGGTCCACTACTCCATTGGGTTAGGCTTCAACTGTTTTCTTGGATCACTTCATTTCTGTGGTTGAAGAAAGTAGATATTCTGCAGTCTTCCCATCCTTATTTTGTTTGCTTCTTCATAAAGTTGTGGTGAACTGCACATATTCCCTAAATTCACTGTCTTTACAATATGTTTCTATTAGCTATTCCTGATACTTCTATACCCTCTAATAAACTAGAACCCAGCTCCAATCAATATTGCCAACTTAATATTACCCCACCTTTGTATGTGTCTTTCAAAACTTTAAAGTCTACACCCTTCCCCCCCCAAAAGGTCCATTTATGATTTTCTCCCTGTCTCTCCTTCCTGGTTCATATATTGTTTTCCCTTATTTCAGTTTGCTCCCCCAATACAATACTAATAGAGGAAAAAGTGACACCAGCTATAGTTATAATTTTCCCATCCTATGCTATGTTGTTGTTGTTAGGCACAGCCAAGTTGGTTCTGACTCACAGCCACCCTATTTACAACAGAAGGAAACACTGCCTGGTCCTGTGCCATCCTCACAATCGTTGTTATGCCTGAGTCCATTGTTGCAGCCACTGTGTCAATCCATTTCGCTGAGGGTCTTCCTCTTTTTAGCTGACCCTCTACTTTACCAAGCATGATGTCCTTCTCCAGGGACTGATCCCTCCTGATAACATGTCCAAAGTATGTGAGATGTAGTCTCGCCATCCTTACTTCTAAGCAGCATTCTGGTTTTACTTCTTCCAAGACAGATTTATTTGTTCTTTTGGCAGCCCATGGTATACATCCTATGCTATATAAATATTAATAGCAACAGTACCTTTATCTTAAACATGTCCAATTGCTAGAAGCCAAAGAGAGCTTATACCTACTGGTCTGTCCCCTTGTTCTAAGTTTTGCTATGTTTGCCTGCTTTCTCTAATTATAATTTTACACTATTCTTGCAACAGGCACCAAAACACTGTATAATACATCATGTGCCACATCTCAAATGCTTTTTCCAAATAGGGAGTCACTCCAACTTACCCTCGGGAGGGAGCTCAGATGTTCCAGATACCTACCTCCTAGACAAAATGGTCCATGTTGCAATATGCCTGTATCTTCGTTGCCACCCTTTGTCCTGAGACTTGTTGTTTAGGATTATTACTTCAACTCCCAATAGATAGTAAGAGCTTCTTCTCCCTCCTCTACCCACCACAACCAAGGACTCCTCTGAATTGTGGCCTCTCTTAGCTGATAAAAGCATAGAGAACTGGATGTAATCTTGCTCCACCTCCACTCAGGCACACATTTCCATGCAGCAGTGATTGTCTCCAGCTAACCCAGTTGTGTGGCCTACACGATATCTCATAGTTCTGTAGACTTCCACCCCAGAAAGGTTAATGTGACCTATCTGTTAATGAGGAATGACCTGAGAAACCAAGATCAGTTATAAGAACTAGACAACAGCAAATACAGATCTCTTCTCATTTATTTATGAGAAAGCACCTATGAACCTTAAGGTAAGGGCCACCGAGCATCAAATGAGAAACCAGGGTCTGAGAGTAGAACCATCTTCAAAACGGAGTCCCTTGGATTCTGGCAGCTTTCAAGCGCAAATTCAGACACAGTGAAGATGCTTGGAGTCAACAGGAAGGGAGCATGGGAGGCAGTCTAAGGAATAAAAAGTGCATCCCTTAAATACAGGTATGGGGAGTGGGGTCTGGCTGCCCTGCATTCGGTTTGCATGAGGACCTTCAAAGTTTCAGCCTTTTTCTATTAACAGCTATTCTCTTTTATGGGTATATTCTAGACTCTGAGTTCAAGTATTACCTAAGAGAGATCCTTGGTATAGTCACTGACTTGAGAGGATCTATTGAAAAGAAGAAGCCTAAGGAAAAAAACGACGATTAACCAGACTGAAATGTGCACTAGCAGAAGAAGAGGGGGCCTCACTCTCGGGCCTCACCTGCCCTGTCTAAGAAATCCTGTGTCCGGATAATCGCTCCTCCAGCTACCTGTTGAACTGATTAAAACAGTGGAAGCCGTCATCGATAAAAGGAAGTGAGATGGTTTAAATATGTGAGAAGGAACTTGAGTTAGACAACATCATTGGAAGTTGATTGGAATGGAAACTTAACTATCCTCCTGTAAAATCATTCACTTTGATCTGCCTAAATTGCAAACCAGCCTGACCTTCCCTTTAGCATTCAGATGTAATAAAATCATTTTGGAAATTTGCCATATAAAAATTTCTCTTTTCTATTTCTTTGTACCACTTCAAATATGCCTTCTTTGCCCCTTCCTGAGGGATCAAAAATGAGGGGATAGAGATCAAGATGGGAGAGAAAGGAATTTCCAGGACCAAAATTAAGAATAAGAAAATAGATTCTCTTATTGGGAACTTGTTAGTGGGGACATTTGGAGCAGTGATCATGCCCCATGAGTAAAACAAAGACAGGAGAAGAGAAAGAAGGCAGGCCACTAAAGAGATGGAGGAAGGAGAGAGGACCCCATTGCAAACCCTGTCCTTATGAGTTGAATGGAATCTGGGCTTTGTTGTCACTAGACCTGGGTTCAAATGCTCTTCTTGCCATTTACCAGTAATGTGGGATAATAAAATAAACTGTCTTTAGGGCCATGGTTTGATTAAATAAGATAATACTTGAGAAGTACGCAGCAGAGTGGCTATTATTTTTATGAGTCAGTTGTACATACTCTTCCTTGCTGCCCCTTCCTTACTCATTCTTTAACTTTCTCCTTGTCTCTGAGCTCTCCCTCATTTTTCTGAATTCCTTTATCTACTTTCGTACTACCTTTGTTCTTCCATGTTAATATTCATCATATCCAAAATCACATATGTCTTCATTTAACCCTCAAGGCAATCTTCAGTGAAATTCTATCATCTCCAATTTTCAGGAAAAGGAACTGAGATGCTGTGCTGAAATGAGTTCCTTTATGTGCAATTTTGCTTGGTTCTTTGGAAAACCAGCTTGAGAGGTTTTTCCTTTAAGCCCAGAGGAGTTACCTTTGCCCTAGTTTTCTACCTCGAAGGGTTTGTTACTTTTGTCCAGACTGATTGATATTTCCTGGGTAAGCTGTAAACAACTTGGTTTAATACTTTTTGTCTGGTCCTTGGCTGCAGCCTGCTCTGTGATTGGTATGCACCTTGCAGGAACTGGTTAATAGTCTATGCAAATGAAGTGTCTGTGGCCTACCAAGAGGGAATTGGTCAGTTCATGGCCCTGGGGGGGGAGGGGCAAGCCTTGAAATTGACGAGGAATTTGTGTATATAAGCAGCAAACCCCACAAGTTTTTTCAGACAGAAATAAGCAGGAAGAAGCAGAAGGAAGAAAGAAGAGAGAAGCAGAGAGAGGAGGCAAGGAACCTCCTAAAAGAGTTGTAACAGGGTCAAGGGCTGTAACATTCAAGACAGTGAGAGGCCCAGAACAGGCCCAGCTGCAGAGTCTATGGTGACAGATGGTAGGGCCTAGAGGAGCCTGTCCTGAGGGGGCTGAGAGGAGCCTCTCCTGAAAGTCCCAAGAGGAGGCTTGTCCTGAGGGCTGAGAGGAGGGCTGCATGGCTGAAAGGAGCTTAGAGAGCTGTCTTGCACAAAAAAGGGAGACTTTGCCTACATGCTTCCTGATCCTGATCCCGAGTTGTACCCTGTTACTTCCTTAATAAACCACTTAACTGTAAGTATGGTCTGTGAATTCTGTATGGCCACTGCAATGGATTATCAAACCCAGAAGAGAAATAGGGAGTGCTTTGGGAGGGATGGCTAGTGTCAGAATTGGTAGAAAGGTTGGAGGGTGGAGGTATGTCTGACTTCCGCCTCATGAGAATCAGCTTCGGACTGATCCTGGTCATTTTCCGCCCCCTGAAGTTAGACAGGTTCTGACATCGTGACTACTACAGCCACTTCACAGGAAATCACCATCAGCTTTGGGCTGATGGTGATTCTCTCTCATCTTCCTGAAGTTAGAGGACTTCAGGTGCTACCATCTTACAGATGCAGAGAGGTCAGGTGATTTGCCCAAGATCTCCTAGGTAGTAGGTGGTAAAGCCAGGATTACAATCCAAGTCTTTTGTATCCAAATTCCTAGTTCTTTCAACTGCAGAAGTCTTCCCTTTTACTTATTCAGCAAGCATCTGTTGAGCTCCTGTTAGTGCACTCGAAGTACTGAAGGTACAGAGATGAGTGAGGGGTGGTTCCTATTGCGTGGAGTTCATGTTCATGAGTAGAACAGATATTTAAACAGTAATCTCCATGTGATAGGGAGAATTCCTGTGTTCAAAATCTCCATGGAGGAGCTAGTGCTTGACCTGAGTTTTGAAGGCTGGGAAGCAGTTTGCCTGGTGAACACAGTAGGGGTAGGGAGGGGACATCATAGGCAGAGAGAATAACATGTACTGATACGAAAACACATGGGAAATGAAAGTCATTTGGTACAGTCAGAGTATCAGGTTCAGGGAAACTGGCAGAGAAAGTGGGGTGCAGTTAGGTGGAGGTGAGGCCATGCTAGTGCTTTCTGTCTGATTTTATTCTGTGGGTGATGGGCAGCTATTGCAGGGTCTTAAATAGGGGAATGACATGATAAGATATATTCTTTCACCAGAAATGTGTCTACAATGAGTTGGAAATGCAATGATGAACAATGCAACCAAGTACTTTACATCCCTGTGAAGAAAGTGATATTATAAACAAGTGAACAAGGAAGTAAACAAATAACATGACATCTGCTTGTACTTTGTGACCCACCCCTGAGACTATCCCAAAGAGAGACTTGCAAAAAAGCTATTCATTGCAGCCCTATTTTCAGCAACATAGTGCAAACAATGCAAATGTCCATCCATTGGGGGTTGGTTAACTAAACCAGGGTAATTCACACAATGGAGAACTATGTAGAGAATAATCTCTAGGCTATACTTCTAAGTGAAAAAAAGCAAGGTGCAGAACAGCGTATGTGTGCATGTATTCTTATGTATGGCATAAGGAAGTTTGGACACATGAATATATTTAGGTATTTGCTTATGTTTTCAAACAAGGGAAAAAGAACCCAAAAATTATTTAAAATGGTTTTTTAAAAGGAAGAGGCAGGGGAAAGAGTAAGAGGATGGAGTTGGAAGACGGACTTTTCTGGATATTCTTTGTTCTGTAGTTGTGACTTGGGAGCCTTGTATCTGACATAATTATAGGACAAAATTAAAGAAAAAAGAAAAAAAAGCAATCCCTAAACTTAAAAACACACTAAATCAATTGAGCAATTATACACTGAGTGGGTGGCATAAACACATAGAGAAAAATTATTCCAAGTTTTTTCAAAACATGCTATTTTTACCATTCAGACCTAGTGGAGTAAGGAGCCTGGTGGTGCAACAGTTAAGCGCTCAGCTACTAACCAAAAGGTTGGTGGTTCAAACCCACCCAGAAGCTCTGTGGGAGAAAGATCTGGTGCTTTCCTTCCATAAAGATTACAGCCAAGGAAACCCTATGGGGCATTTCTACTCTGTAACATGTGGGGTCTCTATGAGTCAGAATTGACTCGACAGCACCCAGCAACAACCTAGTGGAGCTATCCTAAGGACAAGAAAAACTGCAAAGAAATCTTACACAACACTAAGGAATCTTGTTAGTAATCATATTGGTATTGTTATTTTGAAACTATATGTGTGTGTGTGTGCTGAATGAATGAATCAGCATCTAGACTACATAAAGAAATCCAAAAATCAATGAGTAAAGGACGAACTACCCAATAGAAGAGTCATAAAAAAGGGATGAAGTGGCAATTTGGAGGAGAAGAAATAGGAATGATCAAAATACATGAAAAGTCTCAATCTCGTGAGTAATCAAGGCAATGCAAATTAAAACCACAAGGAGATAACATTTCATACCCTCAGATGGCAAAACTTTAAAGTCTGACAATATCAAGTGCTGCTAAGGATGTGGAACAGTCTTCCCCTAGACAGGGAGGAGTGTAACTGGTTCAATCTCTATGAAAGCACTTTGGCAATATTTTGTCAACTTGAACATGACCCAGAAATTCTATCCGTATGTATTTACCTTAAGGAGCCCTGGTGGCGCCATGGTTAAGCGCCCGGCTGCTAACTGAAAGGTTAACGATTCAAAACCACCAGCAGTTCCGCAGGAGAAGGACCTGGTGATCTGTTCCCGTAAAGATTACAGCTTAGAAAACCCTATGGGGCAGTTCTACTCTGTCACATGACTCGGAATCGACTTAATAGCACCCAACAACAGCAGGTATTTATTTATCTTAGAGAAATTTCTTTTATGCATAAGAAACAGGTACAAGAATGTTCATAGTGGCATGACTTGTAACTGAAAAATATAGGAAACAACCTAAATGTTCATCAACAGAATAATATAAAATAAACGACTTCTTACAGTTCATACAGTGTAGTAGTAGATAACGAATGAACTAGAACTACATATATCAACATGGTAGAAACTCACAAGCATGATGTTCAGCAACAAAAGCAAGTAGCAGAAAAAATATATAGTATAATATTATTTATAAAGATCTGAAAAATAATAAAATAATTATATAAATATATAATGTGTAAGGTGGTAAGAATGATAAGCACCAAATTCAGAATAGTGGTTACATCCATTATGGGAAGGGAACACAGGGCCTTGGACTGTGTTTGTAATGGTTTATTACTTAAGGTGGGTGGTAGATACATGGGTGTTCATCACTCTGTATTACCTTTATTATTACTTATTTCTTTTAAAAGACAAACCTGATCACATCATTTTCCTACTCAAAACTCTCCAATGGCTTCCCATTACATTTTGAATAAATTCCAAAGCCCTAATTGTGGTCCAAATCATTTGGGCCCTGGCTGCTTCTTGGACATCATCTGCTGTCACTCTCCCTTCTGCTCACTGAGAT